TGTCCACAATAAAATGACTCCTTGAGATCTGAAAGAAGAAAACCTGCTCTGTTAGCTGTTCTAGTGCACCCGCAAACAAAAGAACAATCGAACCAAAGGGTTTCTATTCTTGGCATGAGCAAAAATGTCACATTGAAAGGACGCCTTGTTTTTTATTAACCTAGCTTTCCATTAAATGAAATATAATCCCCAACTCAAACTTGATTCAGGAGTACCTGGCTCATACTGTTCGACAAAGACACATTGATCAGCGTCACAAGCCATTCAAAATAGCTACCTCTGGGAGACTCTGGGAGACACGTCAACAAACAAATTCAAACATAAACTCTCAAACGTGTAAAAGAGGAATAACCAAAACGGCCCAGCATTCAGTCAGCACAATGTCGGAAAAGATAACAAACAAAAATATATTAAAATCCAGCTTTTATCACACTTTGAGCACTCCATTCCTTTGATTTTAGTGCGCTGGATTGTGACTCGTATTGCTTCACTACTTCCAGGGCGTCCCATCCCTCCTCCTATAATCCTCGGTTTTCAAGCCTGATTAAGTGAGTGGTGATGTCCTACATAGTGATTATCTTTGGCAACCTTTGCTGAAGGAGGAATTGAACATCTAATTATTCTGTGCTGCTGGTCACTCTGCTCTGATGTACCGCGGGCAAAACAACTGCTGTCCCTGGAAGGAGAAAAAGCTGCTGGAGAGAAGGCAGAGGGCCTCTGCCAGCATAAGTCTGTGGAGCACAGTTTATTCTAATTCCTCTGCAGGACATTAACGAGCCGGGATAGTGGCCGTCTTAATGGGCAGCCAGACAGATTTTAAGTGCCCCATGGAGTGTAATCCACGGAGGTACGACAGCACTGCTGCAAGGCCCAACAGATTGATCTTGGTTTTATTTTGCTATAACTTTACTTCTAAGCTGTTCATTAAAAAGGGCATGTGTTTTAAGCCCTTGCCTTTGGGACCACCATGGGCCATATTGAAACCATGTCATCACATATTTCTTATACAATTTAGACTTTTTGGAGCTGTTATCCAAACAGACTTTATATTATTGAGAAAACACCATTGTTAAAGCCACCTTTACTTATTAATGTCGAACTTGGATTCTTACCATCTGAACAAAATCAAATAAGTGAAAAAGGAAAACAGTTTATCATGAACATTCAGGCCTTGCAAAGGGATTTGCAGGCAGTGGAGGAAGATAACTCTTAACTTCACAAAAGTACTTAATACTTCAAGGGCCAATTATTTTTGCTTTTTTGAAACAAAGTTTTTTCTTTACAATATATTGATGGAAGCATTTTCTAAGTTATCTTTGTTACTCGTCTACTTTAGACTGCATTATACTGATGCGGAAGTAAATAACGTTTGGATGCAAAAGGGAATGTACTCAGATCTGTCTTTATGCTGCTTTCAGTATACTGCTAACATCAACAAATTGCTTGTTCATTTTAAAAAAATGAAAAAATGATTTCCAACATTCCGTTATCAGACAAATTGACCACCACGCTGAACACAAAACACATCAGTTAAAAAAAAGAATGTTTTTAAAGTGCAGTTTTCTACTGCTAGTCAAGTAATTAATAAAATCCTTGAGTGCAATATCGCCTGTGTTTATATTGATGTGTTTATCTACAAGTTGACATTGCGATGACAATTTAAAAAAACACAGTGTGCAGTATTTTTGAATAACCTGAGACAAGCAGCTTTACTGTTATTGTTCATTTATTAACTTGGATTAAGCACATAGAATGCAGCATCCTGATCCTTCAGGTGTGAGTCAGCCAATCTGCACTTGATCATGCATTAGTAATTATCATTGCAAATTTAAAAAAGAGCATTTTGTGTAGTTTTGCAGCAGCAACTGTGTAACATATGCAAACTATAGTTTATGCCACTTATATCCTAGATTCATATTCATTGATGTAGCCTCAAAAAGATCAGGCTGCTGTGACGTCACTCTGGCAAACAGTCACAGTGGTTAATATTCATGATCATAAAGGTTTTATTAGTTCCCCCCCAGTAATCACTGCACCTGTTTCAGTGTGCTTTTCCAATGCCAACTGTATATTTACAACAGCACGATGCGAGAGCCAATGTAGCTGTATGTGTGACTGTGTGATCTCAAGTTCTATGTACCCTTATGTACCGAAGCACAAACTGTACTGTACACTTAGTACTGTGGGTTGTTGCTATATAGAGTATCTATTGTATGCGATAAAGGTGATGTTTTATTCTCACTTCAACTGCTTCGCCCCTTTATTGCCTCAGGCTGGACAGCTCCGTGACCGAAGCAGCTACCTTCAAAGAGAAACCTAGGGCACACACACATCAAACATAAATGAATTTGGCCGAGTGGAGAGGGGTTCAAAAACCTGCATCTGTGAGCTCTGAGTGTAGGCAGCCATGCTCTACATGCACCCACACGCTGCCCTCTGTTTCTAAACCTCGGCAAGCCTTGTCAATTGCTTTCAAAAACATTTGTGTGAGGTCTAATCCCTCCGTCTTGTTGGGCATCGTGCACATTATTACACTGTGCAACGATGTGTGAAATGCATGCTGAGCTATCGGCGATGAACACGTGTCCCCCACATGTGGACACGCAACGATGTAAACCAGTTCACTTGTATTGTGAAATGATTATGACATTCATTGTACAGTGTGCTTTTTATTCCACATGAGGAAAAGGGTCACATTTGGTGCCACGTTGCGTTAAAACATTAACAAATTGTTATTTAAAACTTCATAATATGCTGTTAATGCGTTAAAGTGTGTAAATGTCAATGTGTGGCCATGTAGCTTTGTCTTTGTGTTTCAAAGAGTTAGTGCTTCACATTTCAAATGTTTATATAGAGTGACAAGCTTCATTATTAAAGAGTTGTGGGTTCGTCCACTTACTATAACACCCATTCAGCTCTCCAGTTAACATTTTAGTTTGACCTTTTTCCAGAGAGTACAGTTTGATAGGGCTTTTTTTGAATTGATTAAAGAGATACAATTCTGTTTTAAAAGAAGCAAGATACCAGTAAAGCACATAGACTACCCACATTTTTTTACAAAGTAATTTCCATTCATGAATTATAATGGTTACAACCCATAGATAAAGCATAAATAAAAGATGTGTTAACTATGTCACCCTGCAAATATGCCTTATTCAATTATATTCTACTTCATACTGTAAATCATGAATCACAGTGGCATCAAGTGTGTACATATTAACTGGCCGCTCAGCACTTTGTGTATTGTATGGCCAAGGCGAGGGGGCATGAACACAGAACGCTTCCATAAATGACATATGGATGCTATTTGCTGACATTGCCAGACTGCAGCAGACATGAAATATATACATGGTCAGAGAGTGCAGCGTTACAGGAGCATGCTAACACCCCTGTAGAGGAGCAGCTGGTAACACACACACACACAGCCATGTGATCGCACATGTACAGGCTGAGTAACGGGCGCCAGGTGTTATCCATGTATGTGGACCGTGGAACAGACGAGGAGAAGTTCAGAAACGGGACGAGCAAAAATGGAGCAATCTATCCCGCTGTTTGATTTATTGGATTTCCCAGTGTGGATTATTGATACACAGCCCTGCAGTGACCAGAGGTTTGGGTTCATTTCACCACATAATGTCACACATGCACAAGCACTACAATATGATAATATCTAAATAGCTATTAAATTGTATTCTAATATTAACAAATCCCGCAAAGAATGACGGTAACAATTATTGCCTCAGTTCTTCGGTCTTTTTGGATGCCCCTTTTCTCAGACACAGTGGGTTGATTGTGAAAATATGATCTTCAGAGACAGCATATTTGCCCGATATGCCTGATGTCATGATGGGTGTCAGCGTGCTGTGACTGGACCAGTCAGAACTTTCAGGGAGAGTCATGTTGATGTTTCCTGACACATGAGTAAGGACCTAGGACAGAAGACCAGACCTTTGGCGCTGTAACCGCTCTGTGCAAGATGTTCTGACACTACTGAAGAGCCCTGCTAAGTACAAACATACATCTAATTAAGCACCGAACACTGCAATATTGATATTGCCAACGCACATTCACATGACTCCCTGTTGCCAGACTATCAACACTTCCTGCTTTTTTTTTCATGATTATTACTGCCAACATATGCCCTCATTACTGGACAGAAGCGGAACATGGGTTGAAACAATGCACTGTTGTTTCTTCTCTCCGGGATCAGGGAGTTGCTCGTGCACCTGCGCTGTTCGGCAGAACAACCACTTCGCTGCGTCTGCTCGCAAACAGCCAGGGCTTCCCAGGTAGGTGTCAGAAATGAAACCGTACAGCCCACTTAACTTCGCTTCAAGCTCTCCTTTTCTCAAGCCAATGCCCATTTTTTGTTCGCTCCTGTGGACAAGTTGTTATTCTCTGACTGGAAGGCAGCGCGCGGCTCCCCAGGGTCACCAGAGAAAGTGCTCTGTCAGGCTTTGCTTTAGAAAACACGCACTGTATTTTGTTCTAAACCTAACTTCCTGCTCCTTTTTTTTGTTTGGAGTCTTCATAATATTTTATTTCTACCGCATGATTTTTAATGTGTACCATGGGATGAAATTCATATTTTACTGTATGAATTTAATTGGCATTTATCAGCCAAACTCTAATTGGACCTCGTGCAGCAGCAGCAGCTCTGCTGGATAAATGCTCATCATGAGGATTATCAGCAATTCTTTTCATCAGGCCGACACTGACTCTTCTGTCCCCCCCCCCCGGCTCACACTGCCTCTCTGTGGCATGCAACATGCATAGATTTTCCCTCTTACTTCCACCGTGCTGCTGCACGCAGCGACCCAGGGACAAAGATGGCAATCTCTCTGTCGCCGTTCCAAACCTCATCAGCATGGAAATTGTTAAATCTCTATCAAGCTCATGTGCATGCTTTCAAGTGCCTCTCGGATGTTTATCTGACCCTGCCGACCAATCAGGCACGCAGGAAAAAACAAAAAGGAAGATAAAGTGGGATCGTTATTTACCTCATTCAGATACTTCAGCGTGTGGCTGCTATTCCGAGCGCATGCGGCAGAAGGACTCCCATTCATTCTAGAAATCCCGGTTTTGTCCCTGCTGTGTGTTGTCCCCCCCTTCCTCTTCCTTGTCCCTTGTCGAAAGAGAGGCAGCAGTCAAAGCATCCCTTTCTTTTATTTTGCCGTGCCAGCTGACACCCGCCTTCATGCCTTGGTTGATGGAGATGAAAAAAAAGGAAAGGAACATAAAGCAAAGAGGGGGGCACAGGCTCCCGGGATTTATTTTCCTCCTGTCCGTCCCTCTCTCTCTCTCTCTCTGTCTCTCTCTATCTCTCTCTCTCTATTTCTCTCCTCTTCTTGCGCTCACACTAGCCGGAACAGGCGCATGAGGGGGAGACGTCAGAGTGGCAGCGATGTAGCTGTGTGTTTTTTGCTCCGTGGCTCTTCACCTCTTCTTTCTCGTGCTCTGCCTCCCTCCCTTTCTCCACTCTGCCTCTCTTTGTGCCTCTCTGTCCCTCACTGTTTCTCTCTCTGTCCGCGGCTCGTTGGCTCACACAGAAGCAGCCTGCTCTGTCGTGACTGGTGACACGGCTCTACGCGTGCGGAGACATCTGTGAATGTGCTTATGTTGGGGGGGGGGGGACTAAAGTAGCCTCTTAGCAGAGATTGAGACCACCCTCCCCTCCTCCCTTCCAGAGATGGGCTTTCTAATGGCATGTACCATTAACACTTGGAGCAGGGTGGGCTGCAGTACTGAAAGGAGAGGGGGGGTGGGGGGAGAGACAAAAGGAGAGGGGGAGTCGCTCAGAGGGAGAAGGAGCGGGAAGCAGAAAAAGAAAGAGAGAGAGAGAGACAGAGAGGCAGGAGATGGGGAAGAGGTGCTGAAGAAGAAGACGTGGTCAAAGACAGAAAAGAGAGTCTTGTGATTCCTGTTTATTTTATGCATAACTATGCATAAGTAAGTGACAAACAGCACAAGCTCTACCCTTCTAGGTCAGTTTTATTTCACAGATGCACACATCACCTCACCGTACAGATCCTTCATCCCTGATAAAGACCTTAAAAGACAACAGCTTGGACATACGCAGAATCACTGCATAAAACAAGCGCATATGCTGGCTTTGGCAGTGCTGAATTAATTCTAGAAGAGCTGCAATTGTGTTGCAGTTTAAGCATCGCCTCACGCATGACTGACTGCACAATAGCGCACATGCAGAAACATATTGCGGGAATTGTGTCCAAAGTTTGCACGCACGTATGAAAGTCATTCTGTTTAGGACGATAGTAAGGCCCCAGCATATATAAATCTCCAGAGGCTAGTTTCTGGGATTGACAGGGACTACCTCACTGCCAATTCCACCACAACATTTCCATCCCCCTAAAAAGTGCCCCATCTAATTTCAGGCGTCACTGAATAAAGAGCCTGTCTGCTGTGGAGGTGAGACAGCGTCTGGTGCAAGGATCAAAAAAACCATCACCTCGGCCAGCTCACCTCCTCTGAGCCCGGACACCCAGACCTGGCTCTCCGAGGAGCTCGGCCAGGCCGGAGAAGGAAACACAGCGGTGGCCCTGCTCTAAGGGAACCCCAGTCCTGGACATTACACTGCGGTGAAACAAAACCTCAGGAGAGCCACATCATTTACCTGAATGTATCACAGGCATGAAAAAGAACAAAGTCGCACACAGACGTCGCTTCACAATTATGTTTCTAATTATGTCTGATGTATGAAACCTCACAGGCTATTTTTCATTTTGCCCTTACAGTCAAATGAAAAAGAAAGCAGGCAGCAGCCAAGAGGGAATTGAAATCGCTAAGTTGCTGTTAAGAGCGCAGCCACTAATGTGATGGTGGGTGTGTGTCTGTAAGCCTGGATAACCTGAAGAAAAGCCATCAGATGATCTCGCGGCTGCGTGCTACATTTCTCTGCAAAGTGTCATGCGGTATTTTGAGCTTCAGACGGCTCTCGGACTCTCATGACTTGAGTAGCTGAATCAAAAATCATGAGAGTGTGACAAGGGCATTCAGCAGAACAATTTACTGGAAAGAATGAGGGGTGGGTTCATTATGTGGAAAGAACAAGAAAGAAAAGGGGCTGTTTGAGGGTTCAGAGAGTGTTTAGAATCACATTTGATTCAGGGCGTTGTATTTGAAAACGATTGTGAATATGTTTTCTGTCAGCTGCTTGCGAGTTTTGAAGCTAAAATCTGTGCAAAATGGCAGTTAAGTCAGTAGCAATTATTGTTATTATGAAAACTACTAAAGCATCTAAAGAGGATTCAGTTTAGATTTTATTGCAAAGGGCCTCAGCGCATCAAGGTAACACTGTGTTCTTATTTCTTCAGTGGTTTTATGAAATAATGTTAATGTGAAAAAGCCTCAACAAAGGAGAGCAACCAACCATCCAAACAGCTTTAGAGGTGCTGATAGAAACTTCCAGACAGAGCCAGGCTAGCTGCTTCCAGTCTTTGTGCTACACTAAGCTAACTTGGCTTGCTGCAGATTTATATCTGTGTGTGTGTGTGTGTGTGTGTGTGTGTGTGTGTGACACACACACACACACACACACACACACACACACACAGTCTCTGCCCTGACACAGCCACAAAGAGTCAAGGGCATATGTGTTGGGTCAATATATCAAGAGATCACTCACTGATTTATCTGCTGCAGTCAATCCTTTCTCGGGACTTAATGCTGTTTGCGCCACTCAATTATTAACCAATGAGGTCTTTATGTATGTGTGTGTGTTTAAAGTGTGCCATGCATGTCTTAAATCTTTCAGAGCTCCACCATGGCTGTGGGTGGTGCCACTTTCCCTTTTGGAGGAGATTTGATTTTTTGATGATTTCTTTTTTTCTCCCACAAGCCATCTGGTGCTTCTTTTCAGGCCTAATAAGAAGGAAACAGAAAGGCTTCGGAGTTCAGCACATGATAAAGATGGGAGCTGAGTAGGCCAGCATACACACACAGAACAAGGGCAACAGATGGACGGGGCCCCGATATGCTGGCGGTGCTGGAGCCAGGCCCGGTGGGCTGGCCCCACTGGCCTCACTGGGGGTCCATTGATATCTTGTGTTCTGACTGACTTTGAAGACAGGCATTGCATCCAGAGAATGTCATTTTTCTTTGCCTGGCAAACTAGACTCACTTTGAGGATTGTTACACAAATGCATTTCTTTGGTGGATGATAAGTGGACTCATCATCTACTCCAAACCACAAATTAAAAAAAATCAATTCTGAGATATTCATCAGTCAGTACCACTGAAATAGAGTAAGCTTCAAAACGTTTCATCAGTGTGCTAGACGCAGGCTGAAGTTACCTACCATTTCAGCTACAACCGTTTATTTCAGGATTGTGCTCCGAATGATTTATTTAAAGAAAGATGCCAATTGTAATAGTGCATTATCATCTTTACATGCAGCCTTCATTTAGTCAATTTAGTCTCATTTTATCTTTACCAAACCAATCTCCCTTTAAAGTTTTTAAGTCGTTTCAAATATTGCACATACAGTATATCCCATCGAATGTAGTGAATTCAATTCAAACAGTGATTAAATGCTCAGAAACATTTACATTTACTGTCAATTTGGAAGAAAACATCTTTCTAGTGTCTCACGTCTCAGATCGAGGCAGAAAAAAAGCTCCCTGCACAATTCAATGATCATCATTCCCTTTTGATACAAAAAATTAGTTGTCAAAACCTTTCTGAATTCAGTCTGAACACTTTCGCACATTTTGTTTTCATTTTTTGTGTATTGCAGGATGGCCTGGAGGCACACACTTACCAGGGAAGAGGAACGACAGAGTGAGAACGGAAAGGGGTAGTGTCAGGACTGTGTCAGACACAGTTATGCCATTCCTCCGAGCAGCACACGAGAGAGTGCAAATGCGACCAATAAAACAGTGAGCGTACACAGACTGTGGCAGCTTGTCACTGTTTTCCAAAATGTCTGACTCATATGTGTCTCTAAAGCAGACACCCCGGCAATAAACTCTCCCTGGTGTGGATGAATGAAAGTAGCTTGTATGTGATGGTTATAAAGAGCATTAGACTGATACATGGGCAGGTGGGCGGCCCAATAACAGCCTGCGTTATAGCTTCCCCGCCTCTACGGCCTTGGGCTGCATCATTACTTGGAGGTGAGTGTGTTGCCAGGTGACCCCCCCCCCTCAAGACAGTCCCCAAGACTGATAGATAGTGAAGGTGCACTGGCCCCGTTTCCTGATAACAAATGAGTGGCCTTCCAGGAGCCGGAATTAGAGAGCAGCTGTGGAATTGAGGGTAAACCTTATCATTTGACTAAAATATTAAAAAAAATAGCTCTGACCTCTCTGTTGTGAAAAGGTTCATTAGACGCAGATAATGAAAGCAGAGTATTAAAGGTTTTTAGCGTTGTGCTTTTGTCCTGGGTGGGGAATCGTTGAATCTTCCTCACAGTGTTTGTCCAGACGGGTGTAGTGCAGCTGTGGGCAGCTGGAAGGTTGTCGTCATATTTACTTCAGCGTCATGTAGGAAATTATGTCACATGGGTGTGTGGTTATGAGATTGTCCCTTGGCAGCATTAGCTCTGGGTGCACACATAATACTTGTGTGTGTGTGTGTGTGTGTTGACACATATTCCCCAAACATAGCATGTCTTTGAAACATTAAAACAACAGCTCTTTGTTAAGATTATAGCAATTCTGTTGTGCTTTGTCGACATTTAAGTTTAGTTTGAAGTTAATGACGCTTTTGCAATATGCTCCGGTTCAGATGAATGACTTAAGTTCAAGACAAGAAAATAATTACCACTGAAAAACAACAGCATCAACAGTAGTAACAGTTGAAGAATCAGACTGCAAAACAAGTAAGTAAGACAAATAAAAGACATATTTTGTTATATTGATTATATCATCCATTAATACAGAAATTGAATGGCATCTATGTCAAGCATTTGATATCTCTTCAAATGTTTTTCCCCCCTTTTTTTTCTTATTTACCCTAAAAAATACAAGAGCAAAAGTGTCCAAAAGGAGTAGGTGTGTTTATCTAGCTTACTGCCAATCCAATGTGATCTCACTGAAATATGTCATGACACTATGTTGTGGTACGTAATATGTTAAAATAACGGGCTGCCCCCACTGAAACAAATTTTGGTTTAGGCAACAAAAACACTTGGTTTGAGAGCTGGTCCTATAGGCAACTTCATCACAGTTTCTGCTAAGCTATGTTAGCAACTATGTCCTGATCTTTATTGGATTCAGGAAAGTTTACACTCCAGCCAATGTCGTTATCCGAGACTCAGACCGCTAACGCTGGCTTAATTAGCTCGATAGCATATAAAACCTGCTAGTGACTGTCGTCATTTCAGCCAACTCAATTTACGGTCTCTGGCTTGAAATCAGAATTTTTTCCTAGTTTGGGCCAAATTCAATGGATAAAAAGAACCCGAAAAGAACCTAAAACACATCCTCAAGCACTATTATCTATTCAACGCCCAGAAGTTCACATCACACTATGACATGAGGAGATTTATCAGCACTCTATTTGTTGATCAGTTCTTGCAGTTGGATAAGCCAAACTGGTGGTTCCTGATCTAA